ATCTCTTGAGTACGCACCGCTTAAATAGTGGGTCATCTCGTCCTGTGTAGATCTGAGTTACTTTTCTAGGTTTCCATCTCATCCGACGATGTCCTTTCCTGTTGTGGAAAAACTTGTGGGGACGGGTGAGCTTTTTTCTTCTTTTTTGCTCACATTTTGGATTGTCTTCTTTTTTACTAACTATGTGCTATCCTTTAGCTGCGAGGGCGGATATCCAATTGAAGCATGGAGATACTGGGTTAAGCACGGCATTTGCACCGGAGGATCGTATGAATCGCAGGTGAACTGATGCTTGCTTTGGCTCCATAATATTATCTCCTAAGTGTCCATTGTCCCAATTACAATATTTTCAGTCTGGATGCAAACCATATACTATTCCGCCATGTGGCCACCACGTCAATCAGACCTACTTTGGCCCGTGTCCTGACAATGAGTATGACACACCAGTTTGTACCGACTCATGCATTGCTGGGTACTCCACCGCATACGCTGATGACAAATATTATGGTATTAGCTTTTAGTAGGGCAACGTAGATATAAAAGCAAAAGTCTGTAGGAAAATCCGCCTATGGTGTTGCAAAGACTGTAGCAGGTATCCAGAAGGAGATCATGACCAATGGACCAGTAGAAGCAGGCTATACTGTTTATGAAGATTTCTATCAGTACACCAGTGGAGTTTATGTGGTGAGTTCATAAGCTTGAATTTTATCGAATTATTTTAAAATATAGAGTTAGAAAGGCAATCAATCAATAATAGGATAACAACAGCTATAAAAGGGTTTGGTTGCTTGATTGAGCATCCAAAATTTGCAAATATGTCAAACTAGCTGCGATCATATTTATGAGTTTCCGTTAAACGTGCCAACTAAAAAATGAGACCTTTTCAAATCTATATTCTGGAGAATATCTTCTTGGGTCAGAAAAATGCTTAGTTTTGTGACTGCAACTAACATTATAGTAATATTTAGCATACCGCTGGGAAACAACTTGGAGGGCATGCTGTGAAAATCCTCGGATGGGGTGTTGACAACAATACTCCATATTGGCTTGTTGCCAACTCCTGGAACACCGACTGGGGAGAGAACGGTACGTAGACGTAGGTTTGAAACTTAATCCTTCAAGACTGAGCGATTACACGTTCAGGTTACTTCCGTATCGTTCGTGGACTTAATGAGTGCGGCATCGAACATTCTATCGTTGCTGGTCTGCCAAAGTAGAAAGCAGTGCAAAGCTGGCTTTGAGACTTCCTCTTCTGTAAAAAACAGATGACCAAAGTAGTTCTTCGGTCTCATTGTAATTTGTATAACATGTACAGTGAATAATAAATCTTTTCATGGCTAATTTTGCGAAATAAGTTTATAAAATCAGACATTCATCTAATTTCAAAGTGAAAATTTAGAGCAGGATCAAGGCTAAAAGTACATTTAGATGTAGTTAGAGAAAGAAAAATTCACTGACAGAATAAGATGACAAA